TGACACACCGATGTCTTATAGATATTATACACTTTAGATATACACGGTATATCCTATACATCGGGACTGGCAAAGGTGCTAGCTAAATGGTTCATCTTTCATTTTTATTCAGTCTTCATTCAACAATGAACACGGTCTTGAAAGAAACACAAGGTACACATGATAATGAGCATACTATATCGTTAACTCAATCACAATCACAGGTTTAATATGTAAGTAAGCATATATACTCAACTCAATTCATGTAATATCTCGTCCTCACATCGGGAACTCAGGAATAGCATATAACATACAATCTTGTATCCCCCCAAGTCTCTGGTAGAGACTGGTGAAATGTCATTATGTTGACAAGCAAAACTGAAAGGAAATATGGCGGGAAACTGAGTATTGAAATCAATAAGATTCATCAAGGTGATGCACTGCAACACTGAATAAAGTCAACACAAACATATAACTAGAACTTCCCTAAACAGTTCACTTTTAAGGCGAAACATGGCACTGCATAAATGGACTTGGTAACTTTAAATGTCATAGTCAGAGTCCCTTGGCGGTTCCTGCACAGACGGCGGGGCAACTATGGTTGGTGCAGGTGGTAGTGGGGAAGTACTTTATAACATATTACGTATTACCGTTATTACTAGTGGGCACATTGAAGTCCGGGAGTGTCGGATTCAACAGACGAAGGGGAAGAGGATTGACCACTGGTGATATGTACCGAACGTGCCTTGTTAGCGTTAACCGATGGTGAAGATTGCGTGGGATTCGTACCCACACGTGTAAGGCTGGTCCCCTCACGTACAGTGGTAGTTGGCTTGTGATTTATGGTTGGTATGGTTTCAGGTCCCAATGTCATGATCATTCGTCGAATGTGCCGGTTGTGTGACAAAAGGAACATGCTGTCTGAGGAATTTTCTATTGCGCAGAGTTACGCAGCCAGACCCATCAACCCAGACCACATACTGATCAAACTGAGGACACCAGTAATGTGCTATTTTAAGTGGGTGGGGACAACCTGGTTCTGGATACACACAGGATCACCAACTGCAAGGGAAGCCGTTTTGCGTGTTCAGACCAGCGTTTACCAAACCACATGTGACGATTTCAAAGTGCTTCGTCGAGTGCTGTCATGGTTTCTAATCAAACGTTGTGAGGCATATACCAACCGGATGGTATAGGAATGAAGTCTCGTACAGGCCGGCCAAAAATGCAAATGGCTGCCCTATCAGGAAATGTTCCTAAATTAGAGTGTAGCGCGTTGGAAAGCATCAGTGTTGAGGTCACCATGTGAGCAAGTGTTACTACTTGTCAGACGCTTCATTGCTTTAACTCCAACTTCAGCACGCCAGTTACTTTGTGGGAACAGACGAGAATCAATGTTGGATTCTCCAATCAATCCAGGAGGAATCGTCGTGGCCCAGCGGATCTGAACTCTAGTTCACCGTCCGATGCTTGCTCATCTGGGATACTAAGTACGTCTTAGACTGTCTACCAGGCCATTGGCACCTCTAGAGGTTTTCTCCACTATTGCCCAATTCGAGTAACGGTCCACGATTGCTTAGATGTTACACCCCTTGTAATGGAAACACATCAAAATAGGTAGTCTGGAGTTGTTAAATGAGTGGATAGAGCACTGGGATTGGATGGGGCAATACCGATACGGTTGCAGTGATGACATGCAGAACGCAAGGCACTAATAGAAGATGAAAATCCAATTCTAGTTATATTTTTCAACACCAATCTTTTTATTTTTAACAAATTTTAACCCATGTTAAGCATTTTCCCCCGATATTCTCAAATACACAATTTTTCTTTACACATTTTTTATAATTTTCATACCGATGTTCCTGCCGTATGCGATGTATGGCTTGTTTGGTGGTATTTTGGCAGTGCTGTTTGGCATGTATGGAGGTATTGTATATCATGTTTGAATGTATAGTATGGCGTTTATGGTGGTTTGGTATGGCGTGAATGACGTTATTGTTTTATTGTTAACCGTTTGTTAGCGGTATTTGGCTTAAAATGGCTTTTGGAATCAAATCTTTCATCAAACACTTGCGTCATGATGTAACGAAATGGCTACAAGTTCCTCGTGTCGTTTACAGTTCATGTTGCTAAACTAAACATTACCCGTAATAAACAAGCAATCATCGATGACCAGTCGACTAATTGTTTCCCCCCTTTTTTGCTTTTTGTAATCTCTTTTTGTTTTCTATTTTTCAAATGAAAAGAAGAAGAGAGAATTAACTGAGGAACAGAAACAAGAAAAAGGGAAGCTTTTGACATTTTTTATACAAAGACCGGTGGTTAGGGGGAAAATTGAAATGAATAAAACAAATCAGAAACATCTGATATCATTTTATTGCGTTAAATTACTTAGACAGTTTCGGTTAGTATGATGTGTTTTAAGGATGTATGCTGTTTGGGAAGACATTGCTCACTAATGACAACATGTTGAATGTTTCAATAACCACTGATAACAGTAAACAAGCTTACAACAACCAGTGCTTTAACTTTAATTATTGGTCAATTGTTTGAATAAGTCACGTAACAATGCTTTGTGCTGTAAGCTTTCATCGTGAACTCTTCATTTATGGAAAAAAATCAGAAATAGTAATAATTTCTAGATATGATATGAGCGTTATGAGACTTGTGATTGTTGGATATCATGTTGATCTATTTCCCAGTATAACCTGAGTCTTCATACAATCTGAAAAAAATAGCTGACTCAAGCAAGATAAACATGATAACCTACCATCACTCGTTGAGGAATCGTTGAGGAACCTCTATACAGTATACTGAAGTATCTAGGTGAGTTGATACCTACAGGGTGTACAACATCTAATTACAGAACTAGCACGTAGGCAGGTTTTTGAAAACAAATCTTCTAGTCCACGAATAGTATCATAATAGTCATTGAAATGTTCACTAGCCTGACATAAACTATACAAGACCCATGTGTCCGGCTAGTGAAATTGTACACCTCGACCTACCACTTCCAGTTGTAGACACTACAATCGGAGTAAGATGGGCGTACAACCAGTTGATGATTTGGGCCAAAGAGTGGAAATCCAAATTAATTCCTGCATTATATTAAGACTATTTTTACGTATATTATAAACCGCGCCACTACTCAAAAGAGATCAATGTGGTCATCAATCGTTTTATAACGTTCTAATCTGACATGACCCTACATTTATTTTGATTTAATACATAAACCTTGATTCACTTTCTTGGTCGTATATACAATCGTAATATACACACTTTACTTATTATAAATTTGAAATTTACCACTACTTCTCTACTTTATATGAATTTCAAAAAACATTATGCACCTCCCCTTTATATGTTGCCATAGTAGTTTAGACAGATCTGGATTTCAAGCCATTTTGGTCCCTAGCGTCATCGACGAGTCCTAGATGGACGAAACAGCTGGATGGTGCAGTGCAATTCATTTTTTGGCATACTGCATCAATAAAAAACAAATTTGAGATGCAGTCACGTATGTGTATTACTTTCATCTTTCATTGTAGTCAGATGTGTTCAATACTTCGAACGACCTTTGTAATAACCATTAAGCCTAGAGTCTATCTCGCTGCGATGAAGTGCTATACAGTTAACCAGTCTATGAACCCACATTTCTAACAACTGTTATTCCGGTTGGGCGATGCAGGCCCTATTATCCTCTTTGCTGATAGATAACTGTCTAATGCGTTGCGCTGCTTATTATCAAGGAAATGATTTGCTGGTATTATTGATTTCCTTCCTTTAGATGTATATGAGTAATTGCCCTTTTGAACATCACAACTATTCAATGTCTTGTCTGTAAAATAAACTGCAGTAATATTCCAACTTGTCATAAAATCGCAATATCTATTTCTGTCAATAACATGAGACCCAGGGGTCATGGTAGCGGCAGATCCTATTACTCTAAACGTTATGTCTTTGTGATTCTCTATTGGAAGATTTGAACATATTGATATGAAATAAGTTGGTTATGAAAGTCATTTGTTCACTACTTTCACATCATATACATTTAAACCATTCACCTACATGAACTAAAATATCATGAACTTCAGCCGGCCTCTTTTATTATTCACAGGTCAATTAAACGTCTTAACAACTTTCAAAATATGACCTTGAAATTCGGTCATGGTAATTCTTTTGAACAAACTAGATCACCCATTACACAAGCTTAAACTGCCCAAAGATAATCACCCAAATCTTCTTGGTTGTTCAGAAGATGATTAACATTTTAACATATTGTCACTTTAAAATTGGGCCAGGGTAATTAATTTTAACAAATTTGATAGCCCTCATTCCAGCTTGTAACTCCTAATATAGCCTTCCTATGCGGTTTTTTTGGTATTCAGAAGATGTCGTTTGATTTTTTTTAAACAAATGTTACCTCGAAAATAGGTCAAGGTCATTCATTTTAACTCTTGACAGCCCTTTGTCTCAGTATGCTACTTACCAAATGGCATCAGCAAAGACCTTTTTGTTACCAGGAAGAAGTCGTCAGACGGATGACGACGCCGCACCACGGCATAAGCTCAATTGGCGTTTTGGGCCAAGTTAAATAATAACTATACTAAAATACAAATCCTTTTTATAAATATACAATGGCTCCCGGTTTCTTAACACATGTTACTTGTTGATTTTTTCTTAGCCCGATATTGTATATCTTGTCAGCCCTATAAAAAGCTATCACGGTGCATATTTCAAACCATTTTTACTGAAGCCAAGCAAGTGTTTCTTTAACAACTTAATTTGTCCCTTTTTGTTAAGTTTGCTTATCTCATCTGGGTATATTGTCGGTTTGCCGGTATAGCTTACTAAACGGCTTTAACTGGTCACAATAGTTCTGGGTGAAACAACTGTTATCAATCACCCTTGTTGGCACAAAGTGAATCGCGCAGATGCATTGATGGGGAGGAAGTCGGAGTACCCAGAAAAAAACTCAAGTGTTCAGGCAGTGGACGAAGAATTGAAACTAATTTCCATTTGAAAACATTTATTTTGATAATGTTATTTCACATGATTACGGACCACTGGGGCTATGTTCAAAAATATCAATATATCGTATATCGTCTCCCTGTGAGTTGTGGGCCTTACACGCGTAGTGGCCATAGTTCATATCAGTCACGGAATCGATGTGTATATCCGCACCATTGTTGGTCAGCCGGATATTAGTTGGCATTTTCTCACCAATCGCCTGTGCAAATAAAATAAATCACCAAGGCCTGTGTAAACAGCTTATTATCATCAGGCACCTGCGTCTATAACAGACGTTACATCATAAATAAAACACGGTTTCAATAAATCATGTTTGTCTATAGTTTACCATTGTATCATAAAGATATAATAAGAATGGTACAACGACCCTATGTGCCTGGATGGGCTCCGGAGCGCAGATCCATTGTAACAAGTTCAATGTGTACTCAATAATAGTACATTGTTACTAGTTTTCCCATTTGTAACAATTTCGTATTTATCAGCAATAATTCAATAAATAAATAAATCAAGAAGAGCAATAGAAATTGAGCTGACATAAAACCAAAATGATATTCTACATAAATAATGAATAAATAAGTAAATAAATATGTAAATAAGTAAATACATATGTTAATAAAAAATGAATTTGTAAATAAATAAGTAAATAAATAAATAATGTGTAAATAAATAAATCAACAACCAAAGGAATTGAACACAAAGTCTCCAAGAAAACCTTAGATAACAACTAGTGCTCTGGACAGTAGCGTAACATGTACCTCATAATAGCCATCAGATTTATAAATTGTCATTAGAGAAAAGACGAACGCAACAGACCAGAACAGTAATTAACTTACAAAGAAGCTCCAGGTGATGGAGGGAGTTGGGTTACCAGTCGCCCTGCAGGTTAAGTGTATGTATGACCCCTTATTAACGTCATGTAGTCTGGTGGCAAAAACAATCACCGGCTTCGACACTGTAAGTATACACAAATATGATTTGGAATAATTGGAGAACTTATGAATTTATATAATGTGTTATTGTCCGGAAACGTCGGGTGATAACTGGAGATGGAACTGAAGATGGTTTGCCAGCTACCCTGCATGTCAACTGTATGTATTGTCTCTGCTTAACATCAAATCGTCTGGTCACATAAAGTCACTGGTGACGACACTGACATATTCTTTCTGCAATTTGTATCAAATTTAGGTTTCCAACAAACAATCCCAAAAAAACATATCTTACATTTACATAATCATACAACCCCTATATCATACAAAAGTTAAGTAGTAACACTTAAGTATCATCAAACAGCTAGTTTCATACGTAGAGATTATCAGACTGTGATTTTACAGGGTTTGTCGTGAACATATTTTTTCTCATCGCAGTGGACTCCCTATTTTATCCACATGGTCGAGAGAATGTTCGAACGACAACTTATGAAAACCTTTGTAATGAACTGTTTATCATCTACATACCACTACCTGTTATATTCCTTTATTCATCAAGGTGGAGGTGAGAAATATTGAACACTGGTGACAAACAGTGGAGGTGAGAATATTGAACACTGGTGACAAACAGTGGAGGTGAGAATATTGAACACTGGTGACAAACAGTGGAGGTGAGAATATTGAACACTGGTGACAAACAGTGGAGGTGAGAATATTGAACACTGGTGACAAACAGTGGAGGTGAGAATATTGAACACTGGTGACAAACAGTGGAGGTGAGAATATTGAACACTGGTGACAAACAGTGGAGGTGAGAATATTGAACACTGGTGACAAACAGTGGAGGTGAGAATATTGAACACTGGTGACAAACAGTGGAGGTGAGAATATTGAACACTGGTGACAAACAGTGGAGGTGAGAATATTGAACACTGGTGACAAACAGTGGAGGTGAGAATATTGAACACTGGTGACAAACAGTGGGGGTGAGAATATTGAACACTGGTGACAAACAGTGGAGGTAAGAATATTGAACACTCGTGACCAACAGTGTATGCTAAAATATTGAACATTTCTGACCAACAGCGGAGGTTAGAATATTGAACACTTTTGACCAATGTTGGAGGTTAGAATATTGAACACTTTTGACTAATGTTGAAGGTTAGAATATTGAACATTTCTGACCAACAGCAGAGGTTAGAATATTGAACACTTTTGACCAATGTTGGAGGTTAGAATATTGAACACTTTTGACCAATGTTGGAGGTAAGAATATTGAACACTGGTGACCAACATTGTCGGTAAGACTGTTGAACACTGGTGACCAACAATGTAGTTCAGAATATTGAACCCTCGCGACCAACAGTGGAGGTAAGAATATTGAACACTGGCGACCAACAATGTAGTTCAGAATATTTAACACTCGTGACCAACAGTGGATGTTAGAATATTGAACACTTTTGACCAATGTTGGAGGTTATAATATTGAACACTTTTAACCATCTTACAGGTTGCAGTGTTGAACACGTTTGACCAATGTTGGACGTTAGAATATTGAACACTTTTGACCAATGTTACAGGTTGCAATGTTGAACATTTTTGACCAATGTTGGAGGTATTTTTATTTAGAATTTAGAATACGTAACTTAATGTTAACTTAACCGGCCGATCTGGAAAATATATCATATGATTCTTACTTCGAAAGTTAGAAGTAGTAGGTATACTCGTCGTTGTTGTAGTTGATGCTAGCGTTATGGGTTGTGGTAAAGTTGTGGAAGGTCTTTTATTATTGCAAAAGTTATCTTTGCAACACCCTGAGCCTATTGCTGAAAACTGTCTCTTTCCCACTACGCCGTCCACAGGAATGTGTAGAAAGGAACCTTGACAGTCCTGTAGGAAAATAATTCAGTGTAAGATTGAAAAAGAATGTAGTTCTATGTAAATTTTATTTTTTGTTTCATGGGTCCACAAAACATAAAACAAAAACAACCATAAAACAAACAAACAAACAAATTAAACTTTGTCCACAATTTATTTAACTGCAGCTTAAAAAATGTCAGGAGATTTTTCTTCATATTCACAATCCGTGCTTGTATTTATTAAATCAGAACATTTAATTATGAATCAGAACATCAAAGTATCCATGTTGATTAACAGTTTGATTAAGATGTGAATACAGTATATAATTGTTTACCTCTATTTCTTGTCCACACCGACTTGTCCACAGCAACGATCCAGATAGGGCACTTTGTTTCGTTCCTATATAGCATTGCTAATAATACAATGGGAGAATCAATATCAGATTACATCTTTAAATTGAAATAATGTTTTATATTGAATATCTTGAACTTATTTAAATGAATACATTAGTTGTATATTTAAAACACGTGTTTATAAATATTTTACTTATGCTTTCCTAACTCTAACATAAATTACATGTGTATGTGTAAGGTAGTATATAACCTTAACTCTAACACAAAGCACAGGTATAATGTGTAAGGTAGCATACAACCTTAACTCTAACACAAATCACAGGTATAATGTGTTAGGTAGCATACAACCTTTACACTAACACAAACCACAGGTATAAAGTGTTAGGTAGCACATAACCTTAACTCTAACACAAATCACAGGTCTAAAATTATTGTTTTTTGTGGGGTTTTTTTTTGTGGGGGGGGGGGGGGGTTCTGAGGTTTGATTGTTTGTTTTCTATTGATTTAGCTTCAATAAACTGGAACAGGAGTTACCTCACTGCGTTTTGAGATTTGCGGCGTTATATCAAGATTGACTTCCCAATTAAACTAAATTTGCGACATCTAACTACAGTAGAAGTGGATTTTTTTGCGGTAGAAACATTTGCGTTTATCACGGTGAGTTAATTCGTGCAAAAAAATGGAAAATGTGTTATCTAAAGATGAAATAGATAATAGATAAATCAAACATTGATGAATCTAATTTGAATTTATGTAACATATCGTCCTCACATCTAGAACTCAGGTAGTGACAAAAAAAACAACCACAAGGCACTAAAATGAGCATTCTTAAAAACATCAATATTCATATCACAATAAGAAAAAGCATATTTCCCCGCGACATCCTAATAGCCACCATAACAAATTCCATAGTCTAATGCTCTGAGGTTCAACACGTACCTCATGCACAGAACAGGCCCTGACTCTGTCACACTGATCGGGGCTATGCATGTAGTCACAATTGTAGCAGAGAACGGTCCCGGTCAGATCCAGTGCTTTATCAAGTGAAAATAACAAAACATCTGCGTTAATTGAACATCCTCGGTACTCTAGAGGTTACGTTCGATTACATTATCTGCACGCCTGGAATATGATCGGACAAAATCAAAAGCTCAGTATGCGCCACCTGATAAGGAGTAGATGAGACGAGAAGAATAGGTCTATCCTTTGATATTCATCTAACGAATCCCGGGGAACGTAACGGTAAAATTTAGTGGATTTCAAGTCAGGTGATGCTCCACTGTAAGCTTAAAAAGACAGGTATCAGCCAAGCGATTGGGAATAATTGTTTGTTTTACCTAAGACAAATCAATAGCTTGGTGCGTGTCTTCGGTTTTGCTTTGACATATTCCATATTCCAGGGATGCAGAGAGCGTTAGTGATCATTAACTCAGGAGTATCGAAGATGAGGAATGCGCTACAGACGTCTTATACGTACAATAATTTAAAAGAGTAAATATATATTTCTTTTTCTATAGATATTGGTGATCGCGTCTTCTTCTTTAACAGTGGTTAAGTAAACATAATGGCACTGATTGTGCAGTATATTTAGGTAAACCTAACTCAAAACGATGTTCAAAAAATATCTATGAATAATAATAGCATGATTTTCTTGCATTGGCATGAAACAATCACTAGCCAATAATACCAATACATTCATTAGTCATGGATTTATAGATAATCAAAAGACATTAACAAAAAATATTTTAAGAGACAAACGACATGATATATACTTATACACATAGTATGACATACAACAATAACAAACATGACATACAATTGTAAAAATAGCATAACATAAACAAGTGAAACTAGCATGAAATACAATATTAAAAAACATGACATGACACCAAAATGTCATATACTTACTCACATTAAATGACAAACACTTATAAAAAGTTTTATGACATGATAATAAAGACAATATTATATAAAAAAGAAAATACAATAAAATGACAAACAATAATAAAATACATGTATAAACAATCTCATACATTAATCATGATTATAATATGACATACAATTTTAAAAATATGTCATATAATGATTAAATCATAAAAAATATGCCATACAACAATAAAAGTAATATGACATACAATAAAAGAACATATTACACTTTGATAGACATTACATTATCTTCAAAAGTATTAATCACATGACATACAAAAATACCCGAAAGGAAAATATTAAGTTACTGGATCTATTCAATAGTGTTACCTTGACTGTTACAATGCCCGTTGATGACGTTGCAGATTTTTGTATCATTACAGCATGTCGAACAAATCACCACATTGCCGGCACCTATTAACCGAGAAGTCCTGGAGACATCTGAATTCCTCCTCCCAGTACTGGAACGACAAGCCTTAACAAAAACAAATAGCGTCTCCTGATATAGGCATTCACTCATTTCTGTGTTTTTATACTATATCATTTCATTAATTCCACCACACATAAATAACATTTGCTGATGACTACAGTAAAATATATGATAATCTATAAAATATCACTAATATGCCTAATATACTGGTTGGCAAACCTGTACACATTTAATGCATTTGTTATTTCAGTTGAAATGACAAATGTATCAGATACGTTCTTATTGTACAAAACAATCGATCGTACTAACGATATATGGACGAGGATACAATTAATGAATGGTTACAAACTCATTTAAGATACGTACTAGTGAGGATTCAAATCCCATATCATACAGTATGTGTCATTTATTGCTATTTTTATTTTTTCAAAAATATTAATATCGAAAACAATCTACAATATATATCAGAAAATATAAAATATCGTAGTAAGATCTTAGTGTGCCTGATTTATGCATTTTTT